TATATTCCATTGTAAACTCTGCAGTTATGCTTTGACTTTTTTTTTTCCTTTTTACACTTAGACAGTTTGATTGCTATCGGTCTCACTCTTTCACGGGTCGGAACAGAGATCGTGTGTCTCCTGCACTTAGGACATACCCCATTGCTCCCTGACTTGCTGCAGTACATGGAACCTAGAGAAGGTTTCACACATACTTGCTGACTAGATGGATCCGCTTGGATTATCAGTGAGCCAACAGTCAGATGGGGGAGAGGATTTATATTTGGGATTGTGAATCCAAAGTGCCAAGCACTGTATGAGCCCACTTAATCCCACGAAATCTAGCATCTGTTCCCTTCATCTTAAAGACCGAGAAGCTGAAATCCAGAGATAGTAGCCGTCTTGCCTGTCGGCACAGCCAGCAGGAACGGCCCTTACTGAGCTGGCTGCCAGGCTTCAGTGCTCACGGTGACCACGCTGTACTCGTGCTCCATGCCAGAGAGAACAAAGCAGGTGGAGCAGTCAAGTCAGGACAGACGTCTGTTCGGATTGTGGGTCTTTTCCTCCTTCTGTCCATTATCATCATCCTCGTCCTCACTTCACAAGAAAAGCTAAGCAGAAAAAACCTGTTGCATGTGTCACGTTTCATGTTCAGGCTGACTCTATGCTGTGAAAAACCAACAAGATTTGACCAAATTTCCCCACAGAGACCTTTCAAATTCGGATTCTTAGAAAATTCTAGATATTTCTTTAAATGCTTTTGAAGAACCACCATGTGCTTTGCCAGGACAGGACGGAGTTGTGTTTTGATTTGAGTTTGTTTTTGTTTTTGTTTTTGTTTTCATTAAAAGGAGGCGATTTGACTAAGATTGGGATTGTCCGAGACTCTTGGTTCCTACTTTCTATTCAAAAGACAGATGGAGCCACTGGTCATCAATAGCGTTGAGTCATAAAACTCCTGAAAGAAAACCTTAATTTTAGCAAGGAGCCAAGAAATCCTGAGCCCCCCAGAAACGATACCTATTACTATAGTAACTTAATTACGGCTGGAAAATTATCAAAGTCCAACAAAATATGCCACTCTGGAAAAAAAGTTACCCTATGAATAGAAGTGACCAGAATCTGTCATTTATTCTCGCCATAAGTGCCCCTTTTTTTTGCTATAGGGTCTATGTGCATGCCAGAGAGACAGGACAGAGTGAGAGAAAGTGAGAAGTCACCCCCCTCCCTGGGGGGCATGGCCACACCACAATCCCTTCTCCTCCATTCGCTCAGGATTTGGGGCACTCATGCATACATGCCCAGTGTGATTTTCACGCTGCTAGGTCAGGGACTTAAAGTCAACCATGTGGGACCCAGCTGCCTTAACTGCCACACCACCCAGCCCTGCCACCTGCTTTTAGACAGGAGATTTAAAGAGATGATCTGAGGGCATTATCTGAAAATGTCTGGGTGAAGAGTACATTGCAGTAAGAGCTGCCAGCCTTGCTGCAGCTGTGATTTGCAGGGCACCGTCCGAAAGGCTTTGCATGCATGGGTGCCTGTCCTTACCCAACCCTTTGAGGTGCCGTGAGGATTCCTGTTTTACAGTTGGGGAAACTGAGCAAATTGTACAGCTGGGGAATGGTGGAATTCCTCAGACCCAACTGGTCTACCCCTGGAGTCCGTGTTCTTCTAGCAACCCTGGGTGGCCAGTCCCTGGGTTTTGTCATCTCTCTCTCTCTCTTTTTTTTATTTTTTTTGGGGGAAGGGGAGAGGTTTTTGCTATATGGCGTGCGTGCTCACCAGACAGACAGACAGAGACAGAGAGACAGAAAGCGAGAAATCACCCCCCCAGGGGGGATGGCCATGCCGCAATCCCTTCTCTTCCATTCTTTTCTTGGAATCTTGGGTATGCACGCACACGCACCTGGCGTGAGTTTAAGCCACCGGGTCCAGGACTCGAACTGTGGTTGACTACATGGGAGTCCAGCGACATAGCCATTACGCTAACTGCTGGTCCCTCATCTCTCTCTCTCTCCTTGGCTCTGATGGAAAGCTTAACTGGTGTTTAAGCAATCGTGTGTATTAAGAGCCTACTGCGTTCAGAAGCTTTCAGGAAAACCTTTCTAGTATAGTTCCTTTCTATAAACTTAATTTTCTAGGGAACCACCATTCAAATTCAAAGAAGTAAGAGGAAGGCTGAATACAAAGAATGACATTCTCGCTTGAACAGGTGACTTTCCTAGTCAATAGCAAGCAGCCCTCAGTCCCGGGACTGTAGGGAGCAGTCTCCCCAGGTGGAGTGCCTGTGCCTTTCTGTGCCACAGGACTCGCAGAGAGTCTCAGTTTTTTTCTGTCACCACACTGCAGTTTCTCCTTTCAGTCAGTATTTTGGAAAGTCCACAAAACCCAGAGGCCTCCCTGTCGTTGCCCTGTGGTCTGTGGAAACCAGTGATGGCATCCTGACATGGGCCCTTTCCTGCGGACCGAGCAGCGATTAGTCACTGGCGAGATTTTCAGGTCCCGTACCTCAGACTACCCAGTTCCTCATCCTGCCCACCCTCTGGCATGAAGTAATAGTAAGAAAAATCCCTGAGTGCTTTCAGAGGACACCTCCCACCTCTTTCCTTCAGTAAGTGGTGAACCCCCTCACAGTAGCACTGAAGGCTTTAATCACTGGATTCTTTTTTTTTTTTTAGGGTTTTTGCCTTTAGGTTTTGTTTGTTTGTTTGTTTTTTTAAGGGTTTCTGTGCCCTTCTGGCCAGAGAATGAGAGAAAGTGAGAAATCAGCCTCTGAGATGGCCAAGCCACATTCCCTCCTCCTCCAGTCTCCTCCTCTCAGGATTTTGGGCATGCACACACACGTGCCTGCACACTGGGTCGGGGTCTCGAACTGTGGTTGGCATATGGGAGTCCAGTGCCTTAACCACCACACCACCTGCTGGCCCCTAATTGCTGATGCCTCTTCCTGTCCTGCGTAAGTGGAAAGCTCCCCGGTTTCACCCACGTGGATCACTTTGCTGTTCCTTTCCCTGTGCATAGGTCAGAGGCAGCTCCATGACAGGGCTTTGCCACTGAGGCCCTGAGGGTCCCAGAGCAGTCACATGGTTTGTTGGAGGGAGTCAGTCCTTCGCTCAGGGTTGAAACTTCCCTTCCTGGACTCCTCTGCAGAATAACCCCAGTTCCAATCAATGACTCCACTCTCATGACGAGGGATTGGGCCAGGAAACAAAACTCATACCAAGAAAGCCTTCGCCAAACCCCGCTTCGGCAGCCTGTAAGTGTGTTTCTGAGGTCTGCAGGAGAAGTAGGCTGGTAAAAGGACTGTGTGTCTTCCCAAGTTTTGCTTGCAGATTTAGACTCTTTCAAGTCGACTTCAGAGGGCCTTCCATCAGGGAGCCTCTCTAGGGGGCTTTTCCTTTAGAGCAATGGGCTGTCCACACAGATCAAGGCGTTCCTGCT